TGGTAAATATCATGAGGGAGGAGAAAGAAAGGAATACAGCGTTAAAACAGTTTATTTGTATCTATATAAAAACTCACCTTAGTAAAGTTCCACTTGATGAAACTGTAACATTATAATGTTAGAAAAAATATTAAATATGAATATCATATATAGTTAGTAGAAAAAATTGTTTTATAAGAGACACTGCTGTGTTATTGCCATAGAGGGCACACTTTTAGTGTGTAGTCATAGAGTTGCCATAGAGGGCATACTTTTATTGAGTAGCCATAGAGGGCATACTATTATCGAGTTAAAATGTAAATAAAAGGTGTTGTATGATTTTTTTGATGTGTGCAATGTATAGTAAAACTAAGCATGCCAACATTTGTGATTAATTTATGATTATCTTTGAATTATTATATTGATAGAAAGAAGTTATTCACAGACGAACATGATTAATTATTAAAAATGACAATTCAAATATAGCAAAAAGCACCTGAACTTGTTTCCATAGAAACCACAACTTTGTGACTTTTATTATTCCCTACTTTGGTGGCTATTTTGATTTGAACACAAACAACTGAGCACAAACACTTAAACCGATTAATTATTTTTAAATGAAAACAAACAGCCTGTCAGCTGAGATACAAATGTAGCTCCGCTGTTAGCAATGCACATTTCAATTAAGAAGAATATGTATAGTATCAAAGCAATCAGCCCAGCTGTTTTTAACAAGAAGTCAAATCACTTTTACCAAAAATAACAAAAATATTAAGCAAAATTAGAGAATTAAAGATATCATCATAAAATGAACAAATCTGAGAGGGGTCCACATGTAGTATCTATATATTTAATATCAAAGCAATTGGACTTGCGGTTTTTAACAAGAAGTCGAAAATATCACTATGTAAGAGAGGTCTACCCCAGGTACATACACACCAAGTATCAAAGCATTCAGGCTTGTAGTTTTCAAGAAGAAGTCGAAAAAGTAAAACATTGACACGGACGACAGACGCCGATGACTGACGCCGACAGACAATCACTCATATTATAAGCTCCGCTCGACAAAGTCGACAGCGGAGCTAAAAATATAGATAACTATACAAGCAGCCTGTTGGCTGATATAACTTCACTGTTTCAGCAGCGTAATGAAGAAAAAAAATATCAAATCAAATCAAATCAAGATAACAAGAAAATTCACTAAAGTGAAAAAAGTTATCTACATTAAAATGAATTAATCTGATAGAAGGAATCAAATCAATTTGACAGTGGTAATTCCAAGGTACCAACATATAAAATATCCAAATTTGGCTAGTGGTTGTACACCTTGGCTCTTTATATAAAACTATAAAAATACACCGCACTCATTTGACTTAGTGCATCATAGTCAACTAAACACCAACCCCTCACTTTTGTTTCACATTCAATAGTGCAGAAAAACAGCATGGCGGATATTACTTTGCATCAAGACGGGTGCCAATAATTTGTACACAATACATTCTAATGCTATGTAAATTTTATTGCAATAATTTGTTTCTTCGTTGTTAAAATGTTGTGGAAATCAATAATGGCAATGCAATTCATTTGGTAATTTTATTTTTCCCCAAAAAGATGCGATATTCCTCCTAATCTGGACATGGTGAACAAAAATTGTCAATTGGATAACTTTTCGAGGAGGGTGCTCAACTAAGACCAACCAGCCATAACATGATTTACAAAGCTGAGTACCCTGGATTCTAAGTCGAACAAGTATTGATAAATTTGTTCATTTACAGTCATATTAATCGATTCAAGTGCCTGTGTGTGCAACGGAGGTTCATTCCAAAAGTTTTTTCTTCATTCTTTCCCAGTCACAGAAAATTCCCAAAAGTATTCTAGCCATGTTCATTGAGGTATTTTAATGAATAATTCTATTCATGTAAATAAATGAAAAAAGTGAATCCAATGTGACAACTTGAAATGATACTTACTTGCCCAATGTTCCCTTTTGTTTGATTTTCAGATAACTATACAGTGGATGGGCTTCACTGCCATTGACATTGATCTTAGAAAACATATCAAACTGTACTCCATATTTACCAGTGGCAAATTTCTTGATTTCCTCATTAGTCCCTGGTTCCTATAAAACAAATACAGCTTTCGGTTCCCTGGTTGCGATGTTACTGTGCCCACAACAGAAAGAAGGGGGTCGATTTTAAAGCATTGGGTCGTGAGCCAATTTTCCCTGAATATGCAATCTTTCTATGGTACTGCCTAGAAATATCTTGCAATGCAAATATGAATACTAAGATCATATTTTGTTCAATTTTATTGTGTCTGTATGAATAAAAAACAAGTTTTCCATATTTTATAAACATATTGTAATCTTTGCATCTAATTCAAACTGAAGTTGATAAAGTAAAATATCAGATAATAACATCATATTCTCAATAACCAGAAATGTTTCAATGTTGTGCTTTTGGTTGCTGAGCAAACAGAGAACCCCCAAACTTAGTATAACAAGCCATCCATGGCACAGTCCCCGTTAGTTATCAAATTTATGATATATAGTTTTGTTTATAGTAATTTAGCTGGAATATAAGCATGTCAGGAATATGATTTTTTAACATTAAAAAGATTGACATTTGTATCTGATCGTTAAACAAGTATTTGTCCATATTGAGAGATATTGCTCTGGAACAGCATTAATTAATTAAAACAAAATCAGCCATTTTGAATACACGTATATATCTATAACATGATGTATAATGAATATATAAAATTTGAACATAATCAGTCAGAGCAAGTCAGAGATATGGCTCTAGAAGCCCATTCATTAGAACAAAATGGCCACCAGTCAACCATTTTGAATCCAATCTGAAAAATAACACGGCGTGGATCAGAAACCCGTAATGTCTAACGTATGTACCAAGTTTGAATGAAATCCATCCATAAATGCCAGAAATGCTTGATATTTGATGATTTTTTAGCGCAAAAATGGCCACCATTCGTCCATCTTGAATCAGATCGTAAAAAAAATTGATGTGCATATGTATAATGTCATGTTTGATGTATGTGTGAAGTTTGATTGTGATTGGTCCAGGCACTTTTAGGATACACGTCTGGACGCACGCACACACGGAAGCACGGACACACACACAAGGGTCAAAACCTAAGTAAGTCCCCATTTTCAGACTGCGTTCGAATGGGGACTAATAAAATATCATTTTAATTGTCTTTAGACAAATAAGGTCGCCAAGAGCCTCACGACTTGTTTTTTGTCCCACAAAAAGTGTTTCATTCTTTCTTTGTTCACTATTTACCTAGATCTACCCAACCATAGCACTTGGAACAGTAGACAAAGTGACAGAAAAGAATGGAACACTAGTTGAGGTCCAAAAACTAGTTTTGCAGCTCTCTCATTCTCAGCCAATTACAAATTTATTCCCACATTTTTTCATCACAGAAACTTTTAATTCATTCATTTTCAATTTAGTTGGATACTCAAAATCTTTTGTTCACTGAATTTTATTTCAGAGATCGGTGCAACTAAAAAAAAAACCCTTACAAACAAATGCAAATTTTATTATTGCTAAGGAGAATATTTCAGCACAATCGACAAGCACCAGTGAAAACCTTACCTGTTTACCAAACTGGTTGCAAGGAAAACCCAGAATACGTAGACCTTTGGACTCAGCATACTTAGCGTGCAATTGTTGTAGCTGAGTGTAGTTCTTGTCGGTGAAACCTCACTGAGAGGCAACATTGACAATAAGAACTAGATGGCCTCTGAGAATAAAAAAAAATTAATATTATAATAAAAATAATATAACCCCAAATCCATATTTTTATGTGAACGAAAAATAAAGGATATACTGATTTGATTTTGAATTTATTTTTTATAGTTGAATGTCAAAGTGCTGACCTTGCAGAGAGAAAATATTGGATTGAGATACGGGTACATTTACTACAACCAAATTAACCATCCTCAAATGTGTAGAGCACAGTATTAAGCCAGAAAATGCCCCCAAAAAATAGTTTTGCATTTGTCAAATCCCACGCGATGTTTTGACATCATTATGATGTTTTTTTTTGTCCTGTTTTTACGTTTTATTTCACACATAACGTGGAATCAAATGGTTTATTTGAACATTGCACTGAAGCTTAGCATTCCTGTACAAATACAACCACAACAGTTTAGTATTGAATACTATTGAAAAAAGGTTCACATTAATAAATAATATTGAAATAAACAACATACAGATGAATTTCAAAATAGACTGATTTTAATTATAAAATTAGATTTTATGAAAAACAAAGGGATTTATTTATAAATCAACACATAACAGTGAATACCTGTATTTTTCTAACGAGACATCGTTCCCATCAATATCCTTTGCATCAAATTCAAAAATTGAATTTGCCTTCTTCCACCAATCCTTAGGTTTGGCCTCTGCCTGCAATGAAAATATAATTACCCCTATGAATTCCACATTTTTTTCATCCAAAATTTGGGTTCAAAATTATGCACATATTTATTTTCTGTGATCTCTATTTTAATTTTCCAAATCTGAGATACAACACCCTGATTGTTTTTTTTTTAAATGTGGAAAAACATTATACTGATATGATAATGTTACCTTGACCTTTGAACCCAAAATTTAGCAAGGGGGACATGTGTTCCAATTTTGAATTACATGAAATTGAGTCAACCCTGCTGTCATTTCACCCCTACACTGTATAGTGTAATTTGACAAGAGTACATTTCTCATTGCTAAAATATTTGACGGTACACAAATTGTGCTGTGCAGTGGTGAAATAGCGGGGAAAAAACTATGCCCACAAGTTGTGGTGTTGTGCACATTGACCTGAGAAATATTAACATTAGGCCTTAATTAAGATAAGCTAATTGTTGATTTTAATAATAATAATAATTTTAAAAAAGATATTAGCTTGTCAGATGTGGAAAACGTGATGAACGAAATAAGAATATACATTTGGCCAATTAAAATTAATAGACTAAGTGTGTTTCTGGTAATATTGAAAAGGTAGGGCAGGTAGGAATAGCTTTTTATTTTATGAAAATTAATTATTCTCAATTCATTATTCCATGTACACAGCAGCTTGGTCCATATTGTTATATGACAGTATTTTTCAATAATACACCGCATCTTACGTGTACAGTTTGACATTTTGGTTCAAAAATAAAGAATTTCAAGTAGAGCTGAAAGGTGTACCTACAAGTACCTATTTTCCAGTTTGACCTTGAAAAGATACACGACTCGGTCTGAAACTTTAGGCAAGGTACTGGAAAGGCATTACTTTTTTTTTTAATTTGGCCTTTACTATGATATCTGATAAAAAAGAGCAAACCATGAAAAAATGAATTTTGTCCTTAAATAAATACATATTATTTTGATTATACATATACATGGATGTGTGCCCACTTATATGTAAATTATGTGATGAAATTTGAACGTCAACGTAACCAATTCTACATGGTACATTGTCAGATATACTCAAATACCATTCTTCACTGAAAGTTTTCAATTTACAAAAGGTCAAATATTCAGATTAAAATAATATTTGGTTATGTGAGATCAGATCAAATACCAGTGACTATAGCTATCAATTATAGTTAAAATAACAAACTCAGGTGGACCCCGACAAAAATTCCCATTCAGGTTTCATGCCACAAATTTCAATAAAGCGTTGGCGTTTAGGTGAATTTCTCCAAAAAAAACTAGTTACAAATATCGAAATATTGTTCTAATTTGCTGAAACCACAAAAAAACGGTCGAGGTAATCAATATGTTGATAGGATGATAGTAATTGGTGGTAAAAGCGGAATAAACAAATCATGCCTGATGAGGGTGACGTTTTATTTGCATACTGTTAACTGTTGTGAGGAGGCTAGATGAATTTTAGTAGTTCATTTGAATTAATTATCTCTGATTGATTTGCATAAAAAAGAATTATTTTAGCAAATCTCAGAAGTATTGGGGCAGCAAGTTACCGGGGTAGCAAACTTTCATACTAATTCACTGATACTTTGGTTTTGACAAAGCAGACTTGCAACAATCAATTTTGCACGCTCTTCAGCCCTGTAAAACCTCATAAACTTATTTTGGAAATGATTAATACCATTTTAATGGTGGCAGAATGAAGGGTAATCTGTAGGTATCTGCTTTAGTCAAAATCAGAGTAGTTAGAGAATGAGTGAGCAAGTTTACTAACTTGATGATGCCATAATACTTCCGAGACTTGATGTAATTTAATTGTTATATACCATTTTACAAGTTTTTGTTGAGTCATCTTTCGTAAGATGAAAACAGATCACGAGTTCAGTGTATAATGCTGACGTCATGAAAACCCCATTAATAGTGCTGCATTGTGGATAGCGTGCAATTCACAATAAATACCGTGTACTATAGCGAGTGTTACTTACTCTAATTGTAGTACATATACACCAGGATGTGCCAGTTTCGAAATCAATAATTGCACATTGAATCCAACATTACATGCTATACCGACGACTGTTGTGTCTAGTTGTATACGCCCATCTCACCCGTGCAATGTACCCGGCGTCACGCCATATGAGTGGTAAAACAATGTTTTGGATGAGACTAAATATAATTAAGTTAGTTTTCAATTTATGACAATCATACATATTATTGCTTATCATACACCCAAAAAGTGAATACATCGACTTACCATAGTGGAGAAACGAGTTGCTATTTGCTGTAATGAAGAAATGTGCTTCAATCGACGAGATGAGCCAAGACAAGACCTTCGCACACAAATAAACATGAACGTTTTGTTATCTTGCAGCCTGCAAAATGATTAATGTCTGGCATCAATAGCGACCTCAAACGTTGACTCGGGAAAACAAAAATTTGCAAAACTACATTCGAACTGTTTTTAACAATTAAACTATGAAATTTAAAAAAAGCTGAACATTTTTTAATATAGACCTTTTTTAATTGGAAATGTATTAATAATAACACAAATTATTGTTTAATAAATGTATGTGAGCCACATTTCAACTTCGGGAACATTCGACAAATATCGGCGTTTCCGAGGAGCCGGTATTATCAACAGCAAAATGGGGCATATGTGGTCGGCGTACGTGACACAACCAAGCATAAGTCCAGATTTAAACAACATACCAACATTTGATCCCATGTATGGTTTCCCTAATGGTAGAAAAGAGAGAGGTGAGTAAAGGAAGAATTGCAATTCGAATCATTATTTTACAGCCACAAAATGTAGGAAATGTGTGCGTTTTTGGAACCTCTGTGCAAGTTTTCGAGTGAAGTTTTTGTTTTGCGTCCATTAGATATTGCAATCACGCTAATTAAGTAGCAATGTCATAAATACAAACACAATAAAGTGCACAATTTGGTATTGGGCAGTTTTGCTTCAAATGATGATACGAACGAGACTGAACTGTTGTTGTAAATCCCTAACCCTCTTATAGACATGACCTCTATTGACCTGCAATAGACTAGGTAACTGACTTGTAGTTGTACAATGGGGCGGGGATGGGGTGGTGCATACATCTTCGAAACACGAAGTCTCTACCACTTTTGCACTAAAACTTGAGTCAGTTGGCGTCCAAGTGATAATAAAATAAATGCAATTAATTTCCCAATATTTACTATATGGGGGCAGCCATCTTGAATACGACATGAAACTAAATAAAGAGAAAGTTGAGAAACATGTTTTTCAAGATTCCTACAAATCAGGAAAGAAATAACATATTTTCACAGCCAAATGACCTTTTAATCCAAAATGGTTCTATGGGTTTGAGTGGCTATTTTGCTCCACTCTGGCAATTTCAAGTTAAAAAATAAAGAATTGTGTGTCAAGCAAGATACAATATGGGTCATCTTGCTACCATTTACATTCAAAATTGAAATTGTTCTACAGTGAAAGGCAGAAAGCTGTTCCTTGTCTACCCATAATGCTCACACAAGCCTTCAAGTGACATAGCAACTGCAACCACCCTCTCATTCAAAATGAAGGGCTTGCTGATTGGTTGATGTGGAATCAACTTATTCATATTAATTAAAACGTTTATAACATCCCCCACTTTTATGCCATTCACTGTATTACCTGGAGACCTTAAACTAGAGTACTAGTCTACCCATCTATGGTCATAAAAAATAACTTGATAAATGCAGCACCTTCCAGTTAGTCTATTTACCTGAGTTATCTCTGTGGGGTTCCAATATTGTTTGTTTTGTTTTATTCACAGTAATGGTTGCCACGCAGGAAGAGATGGATAAAGCCAAGTTATCACTCCATCAACGTGATTACTGTGCTCATCTGTTAATGGATTTGATGAAATGTGACAGAGACAACTTTCCATGGCGTAATGAATGTAAACATCAACGACATGAATATGAACATTGTGAATATGAAGAGTAAGTTTCTGATACTAAGGAGTTGCCCATTAGAATTTGGGGGGGTAGAAAGCAAATTCTACAGGGTCCTGACAAGGAAAAATATTTTTACAAAAAAAAAATTGAGAATAACATCCTGAGTAAACAAAATCTGACCTAAAACTATGTGAAAGTATGCTTATGCTACAGGCATTCTCATGCCAAAAGAATATATTCTTAGCTTGACATATTCTTTTCTTGCATATGGTGAGGTGTATTGTCCAATACTTGGCAACAAATTCCCATTAACTCGCTTTAACTTCTATACTTTTCAAATTGATGGTATTAGCATATTAAATGAGGTGAAAATGAATCATAATACAACTTAAATTAAGAAGTATTTCAAGACTAAAATTACACATCTTAGGGGTCTAAAGGCTTGAAAACATGTAACATATATTTGGCGACACATTCATGAAGACAAATATGGGTTCAATTCAGAACAATTTCTTTCTGGGAGGCTGGTGTTCTTGTGAATAGATTCCTACCACATATAGAATAAAATAGTGATTTCTAATTTTTCACTTATGTCTCTCCTGCTGTGGAATTACCCATCAACTTTAATTGAGAATTAAAATAGTTGTTGAGAAATTTCATAAAAATATGCCTCTTTTGTTATAAATTCAGTGTCTGCTAAAGGTGTGTGCTCACTAAAATGAAAATATAGAGGTTCACTTGTATCATCCAAACAGCATTCTGACCAATAACACGACAGCAACTTGTGTTGAAATTCTGAGTACCGGGGTAGTTACATTTTGCTGCTGGCCACATTTAGACAGAAAACATGCGTTCCATATTTTAATATGTGCACTTTAGGTGAAACAGTGCAGAAAAAGACTGTAGTAGTATTTCATCATTTGACAAATCAAAAAAATGTTTTGCAAAACATATATTATAACAGCAGTGTGTAGACCAGCACACATTGTCATACTAGTAATGGTATTTTAAAATACTGTAGAATTTTCGCTTGGAATTTATTTTCACTACTGTGGAATACTTTATTTTCGCTTGGAATTTATTTTCACTGATTTT